TTTTAAGAAAAATATTTTCTTCATAAACTTACCATTCATCAGTTGCATGAGCTTCTTCAATATAAACAGTGATCATATCAACTTGATTATGATAAAAATCCATTAATTGATTAAGTTGTGGTACAAGACCACGAAATGGTGGTCAAGTATATGAACCAGCAATGATTAATAATGGTCGATTTGACTGAAAATAAGATAATAATGATACAAATTCTCCATTGATATTTAATAATTTAACATCCATTGCCGAATCTCCAATATGAAGATTTCCTTGTTTTGCACGATTATGTCGAACATAAAGAGATAAATTATGAAATTCATCATCATTTGCATATAATTGATGAGCACTACGAAATATTCTAGAAAAATAAATCAAATATTCAAAATTATAATAAGATTATATACTGAATTGATTGCATTATTATTTCTAATCAAAACTGGTATCATTAGAGATTGGAAAAATAGCTTGATTTTAGGACCTAAGTTTTCTGTGACTAGAACCAAAATTACCAATGCTTTTATATAGGAAATTATATCTTTCATGAACATGTAAAACTTGCATTAGACATCATCTTGCTATGATATATGTATTCTAAGTTCATGAGAAAATGATCATGTAACAATGACTTCAATATTTGCTATCATATAATTTTTATTGCATAATAGTCATCTTGTTTTCAAAAACAAGACAGTTGTCGAGCATATAAAAGTGTAACATTGGTGATGTACGAGTAAATTAAAAGAAGTAATGAACATCAAGCGGACAGAATATTATATCGTATTTCTCTCTAGGATCTGTATTTGTAATGGTAAATCTAGATGGAAAATATGTTTTCGTACTGTAAGGGACACTAGATTGTTCTGGTCATCCCAGAGCAAAACATTGTTGAATATAGAAACAAATTATATATCAATTTCAATTTGCGCCAACCTTTATAGATAAATATTTGTTCAGCTTTGACGACGGTTAGAAAATCTTCATGTTAGTTTTAAACATCTAACAAGTATTGTTCTTAAAATATGTTCTTATTTTTTCTGTCAAAATAAAAATAAGATGATAAAACTAATCTCAAATGAACAACAAGCAGATAAATTTAAGAGTAAATTATGAACATTTAAATTCTTCTCTGATCATATCTTCAGTATTTAACTTTATTTTATCTATGAAAGAAAATTTTTACCTTAAACCACATTGAATTTCTTCTTCTGTTGCATCTTCACCTATTGCTTCTTTAATTAATTTTGTTTGTAAATCAGCTATAACATCCATCCAATCAATATCTTTTCGATCTTCAATATTTGATAATAATTGTTGAGTTTCTTGACTAAGTCTTATTTGTTCTTCTTTAATTAGTAAATCTTTAAGTACATTATGTTCTAATAATCGAAAAACTCGTAATTGTTTTTGAACAGTTGATTGTCATTGTTCATCTAAGACATAATCATCATCATCAGTATTATTATCTTCTTCATTATCTTTCTCATCTTGATTATTTTCAACATTTGATAATATAACATCTTTTAAATTTGGAAGATCACAATCGACAGAGATATTTTGAATTTCACTAATAAGTTTTGAAAGAAGAACTTGTCCTTGTATAATAGAATCTTGTAGTTCAGCTGGTGATAAACGTTCAGGTTGATTCATATGTTGAAATTCAAATGCAAGTACATTCTTTATAGCTTCGGCTGCTGTATTTGGTACACTGCAAAAATTTTGTCGACCACTCGTTATATGATACATTCCACCACGTAAAGATAATATCATATTAATTGTAGATTCTTTCGGTATGTTATAATCTGAAAGAGTTCTATTATCTTCGAGTTGCTTGCCAGAAAATAATAAACGTTGTTGATCAGGAGGAATACCTTGCGAGTCTTGTATCAAGTTTTTGACAATAGATATAGTCATGTAAGCATTGACGTCAATTGTAAGTGCCTTTCCAGTAAGAGTTTTCACAAAAATTTTAAAATCAGAAATGGATTGACCGGTAGCAGCCTATACAAACAAAATTATGTGATGTGAAAAAGGAAAACAAAATTGTAATTTACTGTTTCTTGCAAAACTTTTGCTATGATAATACAATTATCTTCATATAATTTTAATGACAAGACGGTTTCATCTAACTTTAATGTTCGACCTTCATTCCAATTTTGTGTAGTTATTCGAGAACCTTGATTTAATATGAATGATTTTAATTCAATATTCGGTAATTTTCGAAGTTTTTGTATTCGCATTTTAACCTTCTCCATAGTATCTGTTACGAGAACATGTAATACACATGGTTGAGGTGCTATATTTTCACGATATTCTATTAAGATATTCAATTCAACATGTGTAATAAATTGATAACCATCTGGATATTCGGATACAGATAAATTCAGATAATATTCATCCAATGACGAAATAACATCTTGATTCATTGTTCCAATTTTGATTGACTGATGTAAATATTTTGGTACATAATTTTTCTTATAATTTTTAAATATTGTACTAATCAATTCATGATCCATATATTCATCGGTTATTGAATTTCCATATGGATCAATAAACGTTATTGAACGTGATTTTAATTGCTTTTGTATGTTCTTTTGAATTTTGCATTGATTATCAAGAAATTTCACGATTTCGAACATATGATGCTGAATTGTTTGAACATGAAAGATTAAATCTGTATAAACAAATGATGTTGGTCCTTTAGATTCAACAGCAGTCGATGACGCTGTTGAATTATTTTCATCATCTGTCATATCATCCATATGATGATGATGATGATGATTAGATATCTAAAAATAAACAGAACGGTGATATACTAAACAAATTAAAAGACTAACAGCTATTTTACAAAGCACACTTATTAGTGTGCAAAAGTAGATAGATATGAGTCTTTTCTTGTCGAAAGATGCATTAATTAGATTGGATTGAAACGTCTAAAAATGAAGGCGCTTCTTACATCTAACTTACTAATAAGTTAGATTCAAGACTGATGCACTGTTTTGTTAGACATATCGTGTTATTCAGAGTGAATTTTCAATCACTAAGGCCACTATACTGAATCACAAAAGAGGATTATTCAAATAGTATATGACATTTAAGATATGAATGACTATTTCAAGAATGAATTATACATCATCGTATTAGAAAACAGTCAATTGTTCTCATTTGAACTTAAATCTTTAGTAGACCGTCAAATTTCGAAAGCCGTATTTGAGATGTGCACTCTTCAGGTTTTTGCAATCTCGTCAATCTTTCTTTTTTTTAATTTGAAATGGTGCTCAGACGCTGAGAGTAAGTTCGTACTCCTAAAGCTTTAAATGCAATTTTTTAACTCGAATCTGGTTGTTGTTCCGAAGATACAATACCCAGGCAGACAAACGTTAAAAAAATAATGCGTTTAAACACGTTTAGATTCCGTAATAACAGCGTTTAAACGGCATTATTATGCCATTTTCAAACGCGTTAAAACACGTAACCCATCTACAACGTGTCAAAACCTGTAATTTTTTTCAAAATTTACGCATTTTTCTGGTGTTGTCGCTATTCCTTTTATGAGGTTAAACGCGTGCACAAGCCTAGAAATATTTTGATACGAGTCTATGTTAAATACAACTTGACTTATTTTTTTTTTCCTTTGAAACTAGGTTACTACTTGTATCTTCTGTATACTATAATTCACTTACTAAACAAAACTAAGCTTTTTTAATGTTAGTATATTGTCTCATGAAAGTTAAAACATAAATAGACAAATTTTAAGATAGGATGTTTCGTATCTATGAAGTATGCAACTAGGTATTAATATTTGAACTGATGTCCGACTTGATGAGAATCTATTTATAAACTTTAATATGGAAAAAATATTTAAAACATACTTTTATAAGTTTTATTTTCCTCATATATGATAGATTTCATTTCATAGAGTCTTCATTGATTTTTATTAAATCTAATTCATGGTATAGTGTTTTTTCAAATTTATGTTCGAGTCTTATATGCGTAATCTTTAATCTTATTGTTAAATGACCTTTTATATATTGATCGTTATCAGAAAGAAATCTTTTCTTTTAAAATGCACTTCTGTTTCTGTACGTAAACAATAACTAATAAACAGGCTAGACATAAAAGTTAAGAACATTTCTTTATATCCTTTATGACTGGTCATACTATGACAATATCTTTAATTTTTTGTATTAGTTAATACTAACAACCAATCATTTGATGTTCACCGTTTTTTTCGTGAAACGCTACCTATAGTATTACTAGGAAACATGTAAAATAATATTTTTTTTCAGACAAAACAGGAGACATTATCAAACAGATAAGTAGGAAAGGTATTTAAGAAAACGTGTTCAAACGCGTTTATTTGTCTGATCTCTGTAGAGGGCCCACCACACACTTCTACAACTCGTATACCCTTTAGACACTTTCACTACATTTTTAAATCCTATTCTAAATATTTTCATACGCATCTTTACATCAATTTGAGTAGATAACAAGAAGGTAGAAAAAAAATCTATCTCGCAACTAGTATCTACCACATGAACATATTCTTTTCTGTTTTTTCTCATTATTTTCCCAATCGATTTCTTTCATTCAAATTCTTTCTTTCTTTCTTGTGTTTATTCATTTTTTCATAGTTTTATTTTATGCAGTAACTCATATTTCTTTCATTCGAGTAGCTTTATGATATTATTTCTGCTAGATAATCTATTACATGCATTATGCTGCAGAAATATCCTCATACACATAAGTTTTCTTTTTATACAGTCAAGATAGGATAAGCATAGCCATAGGAGAAAGATTCTTGCGTAAAGAAAAAGAAATAAGTTCAGTACATTAGTCAACCTTGTGTTAAATTATTTAATCATACGAACACTTGACTGAGCATCAACAACTATATATTGCTGTCATAGATTCGTAGCTAGACAATAGTAGAATAAGAGAATAGTTGATAACTTCAAAGCATATCTTATATTAGAATAGAATATTGTTAGACGATAAAAAAAAGAATGTTACGGAACTTGCGTAAATTTCAGTTATTTATCCACATATAATTAATTCCAATTAAAATAAAGTAACTAAATTTTATAAGGTAGAGAGACAACTCAACACGTCGTGATCACTTGTACGTATTAAGGATATACTTTAAATAGTTAGAAAAAATATAGACTCAACTAACTCTCAAGTGATCACGACGTGTTGAGTTGTCTCTCTACCTTATAGTATCTGTTTTATTCAAAATATAAAACATGTAAAAACGTGTTTAAAAAGTGAAACGAAAAAATTTTCGTAAAAACCGCACATTTAAACGCGTTATGTACGCATAGTACTATCTAACACCATAAAAACGTCGTTCGAAATAGCACAGCGTTACTAACGCGTTTAAATGTGCGATTTTAACGAATTGGAACGCCTTTGTTTTTGGGACCGTTTTTATCCGTTTTTTTACTAGTTGTCTGACTGGAGAGCTACAGATTTACAGTGTGAGTAATTTTAGATTTAATGTTATTTATTCAGATTTCGTAAAAAAAGATGTTTCTCGTTTAAATTTCGAGTTAGAATCAAATAAAATCACAAAATGTCTGAAACAACTTAATAGAACTGGTATAAATCTAAAATGCAAGGAGTTCATAGTGATCAAAAGACAGTCAAGATTACCTTATAATTGTTTAAGAAGTTGCAGAAAAATGAATTAAAGTTAGTCGAAAAAAATGCGTAAGCTTTAATTACTTATCCTATCGATTTTTTTTTGTGTAATTGGAGACACGTGCAACGATACAGGCAATTACATTGTAATTATTCGCGAAAGAGAAATGAAAAAAAAAAGAAACGTGTTGCAGCTATTTATATTGTGTTCGAACATGAGTCATTTCTCAGTGAGTTAAAAGAAACGATGTAATTACATCATTTTAATGCAATTTTTAACACTGATGTAATGACATGAAAAAAATGCCATTTTCGACAATACAGCGGACACTATAGTGAATTTTGGATGAAAGACTTGCAATGAAAATCTCGTAATGAAAAGACGACATCTAGAACTAATTTTTATTTCGCTTGAATTAACAATTCATCGGAGTGGGTTGTTATATTCTGACATCAATATAAGTCTAGGCTAGTTGTCCTTAGAGGGACTGTGTGATGAGCTTTTCAAAAGTTCATTTCACCCTACCGTCACGTTTATTGCCAAAGTACTGTGATATTGAAAGTACTTGTCAAACTTGAGAAAAAGCCGGGCACGACATAGTCTCTATCTTAACGCATTGCATTTGTTAAGAAAGTGGCATGTCTAACGACAAATTTGTAGATAAGTTTTAAATTTATCATTCTCAATAAAAAAGCGGGATACATGATGCTTTTCACATTAAAGTCATTGATTAAAATAATTTTTCTTTGAAAAACTTTTTTAATCATTTGAAATACGAGTAAAATTCAGTGTTTGAAATGTAAAAATAATGAATTGAATCTACTGATTTATATTTTGCGAAATGAACAAAATCCTCTAATGAAAATGATGTTAAACCGAGGGGGAACAAGCGGACTTCTGTACTTCTTGTACTTCTTTATACTTCTTCGTACTTTTTGGTACTTCTCGGTACTTCTTGACAAATATCAAGAACTCTGTTCCCAAAAAACAGAACAAAAATGTTCTGTTTTTTGGGAACAGAATTTTTGACATTTCCCAATAACAGAACACTTTTGTTCTGTTTTGGGGAAAATCGAGGAAGAAAGCGCGTACTTCTTTGTACTTCTTCGTACTTTTTGGTACTTCTTGGTACTTCTTCGTACTTCTTGGTACTTCTCTGTACTTTTGTACTTCGGAAGTACAGAAGTTCGCTTGTTCCCCCTTGTGTTAAACTAACAAAGCAACATGATGACTCTGTTTTTTCTAAATAATGTGAAACTCTTGGCATGAAAAAAAATAAAAATAATGAAACTAATGATATGATTTTGATGTTTCTGAAATAACGAAAAACATGACATTCTTTGTATAAAGATTTCCAAATTAACCATTTAAATGAAACTTTTTTTTAATTTTTGGGGTCAACTGAGTATCATCAAATATGCTAATTAGAATCTATCATATTTTTAGTGTTGCTATATGCTTGACTGAAAGCGAACAAGATGGAGCAATCATTTTCTATTTGACGAAAAAGTTTGGATTAAATATTAAATAAAATTACTGAAAACCTAAGCTCAATAAAAATGATTATATTTTATTCAATTGTGTATCAAATACGTAACAATATAGATATAAAGACTATTTCTCTATATTTATAATCGAATTTTCCTTTAGAAAACATATACATGAATTTTTTTGTACAGTAATATATCCAAAACTCTTTTGAGAAAATTCATAGGGGTGTGGGTGGGTGGGTGAGGGTGAAGGTTAGGGCGTGGGTGTGGATGTGGGTTTGATTTTAAATGAAAAAGCAAATTAACAATATTTTAAAGATAGGGATGGATGTGGGTGTAGGTTTGGGTGTATGCGTGTGGGTGTTAGTGGATGTGTGTGTATAGGTGTAGGTCTGGGTGTTGGATGAAGATGTATACTGGAAAGAAAATTATGATTACTGACCAAAGAAGGTTTTGTTGATTGAAAAAAGTTTTCGTACTAGCTTCAGAATTAAAAAATATCTTCGTACTATATACGGAACTTTTTTAAAGGTTCCGGTTTTTGAAACAAAGTAGTTCGCTACAGCACCAGTTGTTGCAATGTGGGCTTGGATATATGGCTTTGGCTGTCCATATGGGTGTGTGTCTG